GCAGGGGGACGCTCTAATCTAACCTTGTGAACACGAGCATCATCTTAGAGCACGAGCATCATAAAGGCTGAAAACATAATATTAAGAATTTAAAGTAAACAGTAGGTGATGCAAATAATGAGGCTAAATCAAGATTAAAATAGTCATTATTTAGCTTGATCTGTGAAGATGCAGTACAGAAGGGGAATATTTAGAACTTTTAAACTTATACAAAGTATAAATCAAGTCATGACGTGAGATACACAAAGCAGGTACCTGTTCGTGCATCATTTAATATGGAAAATATGACGAGTAATATTCGGGATTTGCACCTCTGCCGGATTGTCAGCCAATTAAGCTTAGATCTATATTGCGAAATATGGTCGAAGCCAAAAAATAAATCTTATACGGTTATTGAGAAGGCGTTACAGCTTGTTCAGAAGATCATTGGAGAAGCAGCAAAGATTAGTACAGTCAATGAGTCATCGGTTCCAATATTGTGATAAGTAGTCTTTAAGGGAGAATAGAAAGATTAACGACTCAATAATTAAACGAAGCTTGGAACGTGTAGAGTTTTTCAACAAATCTGTATTAAAGTTACCCATGATTATACAGTGTGTGTATTCAGAACAAATATCAAGAAGAGCCATATCTAAAGTGGTGAAGCAGTCTGACGAAGGGGAGTAATTTACTACCCTTAGAAGTGTAATGTAGGAAGGTGTTAATTGATAGAGACGTGTTGTTGATACTAGAACTTTAATTATAATGCTTAAGCTTACTCTAACTTAACACTAATATGTACTATCGTGGGAGCTACACTACACCTCCACTGACAAAAAAAGTATAAAAATGAAGTTATCTATTTTTTATCACACCTTAAAATATTCCAATCATAATTAATGAAAACTTAGTGGAAATTAAAGTTATAATTTAATGTATACCGAAATTTATCAGGGCGTTTGTTCACAACCTCTAGCAGGTAAAAATTACTTTTTCACAGAATTTTGTAACATAATCATTGACGAACATTTACAATATTATTTATTAGAGTTCATGAAAACATGTCATCTAATCTGGACATTTATAATATACTAGCTGACCAGGCATACGTTGTACTGCCCTTAGCGGCGAACTTCTGTACTATAAAAATACTTAAATTTGCAATAAAAAATACTGAGGGTCACCTTTCGGGATAAAAATTATCCTATCTCTCAAGTTGGACCAAACTAAACGCAGTGTGCAAAATTTAACTGAAATCAGTTCAGTAGTTTAGGAGTCCATCGCGGACAAACAACGTGACACGTAATTTTTATATATAAAGATAGTACTTTTCCCTTGTATATCTTTTTCTCCTTATAATTTTCATTTCATTCTTTAACATCATTTATTTTTTATATTAGGTTAAACATTTAAAATTTTTCATTTTATTCGATAATATTTAGCTATTCATTACATATTTGTGTCATTTCTTTCACGTATATGACTCGCGTACATACATGATCAAGAAAGTTAGCAATACACTTTCATTTAACTCTTTACATTTATAGCGTTTCAGGTTTTTTATTATTTAATTGTACCACTACTTTCAAGTACACGACTTGCGTACATACATGATCAAGATAATAAAAATGTTCCTATACAGTTTTTAAATAAAGTCACATTTTTTTTTATAATTCATTAAAACTCATTCCGCGTTTAATCGCATCCGAACAATGTTAAAAATTAATCGGTTATAAGGTTTTCCAAACTCTCTGATTAGGCTGATTGTATGTGTGGATATGCTAACCTCAGATATTTTTTGTTTACCTTACTCTCACTAAAAGTTATCCAGAACGCTCCCTCCAATAATTCCGGCAATGACCATTAAAAGGTCAGTCCATCAGATGTTTTCTCGATTCGGCAGTTAGGCCAACTGAGAGGTTTTCTTTGCCTTGGTCCTTAACCCGAAACTCCAATGACACTTAAGTTGGGTTCGGGCGGTCAACGAGGTGTATGTGCACCCCGTGAAGGAGTATCACAAGAGAGCCTCTGAAAACCCTTTCTCAAAAGAAAAGGTTAGACGACGAAGATACAGGTCTTCTTGAAGTGGTCCTGGTCTATTCGTCTCCTTATATATATATTGTATTTATATTGTACCTATACAGTCCATAGGTGTTGGTGGAAGATCCTTTAGGAATGAAACAACATTTATCTTCAAAACCTCTCCGTAAGAGTGCCTTATATGTTTCCTTTCTTGATTATAAGTATTACTGGTAGCTGGTCTCAAACGAATTACATCATCGGTGTTCTTCTCCTGTTGGTCCCCCTTCTGGGGACAGGAGGTTTTACAGGTCTCGAGGTGTCCCTCTCTACCTGGGTATCATCGCGGGGGGCAACGGCTCCCCCGGTCCTGGGTGCTGCGATTGTGCGCAGCTTGTACGCTGGTGTGTTGCGCACTACACGCGCGTCGGGACTCTCACTCGTCCCCGGCGTCCCCATCGTCGGGCGGTGTGCGTAGAAGTTCACGTGGGAACGATCGCCCGTCAGGTGGGCGAACATGGAGCGGAACTAAAATTTGCAGGTGTGGATGTGGTCCGTTATCTGCGCGGTCGAACAACCGTCTCGCAGGACGGGCCACGAACTCATGGATGGATTCGGTCTTTAGATCTCTAGAAATTACATCATTCCTGACGTAACAGCCGGCTCCCACGATCACTCTGAGTGCAAGATTCTGCTGGGCCTGCATCCTCTTACGGTGAGTGGCTGAGGTCAACGTGTACCAGGCTGGCGCTGCGTATGTCTGCCGTGAGCGGACGTAGCTTTTATAAATGGTAATTTTGGTTTTTATAGAGAGTTTGGATGCCATAATAGGGTATAATTTCGCTCGCGCGACTCTGGCCTGACGCACAACGTGGTCGACCATCGGGATCATGTGCAGCGAGCGATCTATCTGGAATCCTAGGTAAGTGATGGTAGTTGCCCAACCCACGTCCTGCCTGCGGAGTTTTAGGGTTGGTGATGTATGCGTCAGCCTGGTCTTGAAGGCGACGGTCTTCCCGACGTTGACAGCCATCCTCCATTATCCAGCCACTGAAGTAACAAGTCCAGCAGTCGCTGTATCTTTTTGGCCGCGATCTCTACCCTACGAGATGACGTGAAGTACGCACTGTCGTCTGCATACAAAGCTACGACAACATCTTCTTCCAACTCCTCCATGAGGCCTTGGAGTGTGGGGATGTCGTTTGTGTAAACCGCGTACAGGTGCGGTGATAGGCAGCTGCCCTGTGGCACTCCCGCTTCGATCGGTTGTGCTACCGAAACAGCCTATTCGATATTGACGTAAAAGCTCCGCCCCTCCAGGAACGACGCTATTAGCCGCACAAGCATTGGCGGCAAGGTGGTGTGCTCTATTAATTTGTATAGTAGCCCTGCGTGCCACACTCCGTCGAAGGCCTTCTCCATATCGAGAAGGACCCCCACACAGATGCGGCCGCGGTTATATTCGGCCGCAAGATAGTGTAGCACGCGGGCTAGTGGTGCTGTGGTGGAATGTGCTCTGCGGAAGCCAAATTGTTCCTCACGCAAAGTGGCGGCATGCGACAATAGTGTGAGTTTCTCAAAAAGTTTCACTAGTGCGGTAATAGCGTTATGGGGCGGTAGCTAGCCGGGTACCTCCTATCCTTCCCCGGCTTTTGTAGCACGAGGCTTCGTCGACTCGCCTCTCCCATGCCACTCCCCTGTGCGCTCTTATCGCCATCGACAGCTCTTCCGTCAGGGAGTTTAATTTTCGTTTTATTATTGGACACCGTGTTTGTGCCCAGAGCTTTCTCAGCTTCCGCTTCTCGGACAACTGTAGTTGAAGGTTTCTAGGGAGTTCCGCCCCCCGGCGGCCCGTGGAGACAGGGTGTGAGGAGAGTTGTAGTTGGTTTTGGATTATTGAATGAAGTTGCAGGGCCGCTGTCTCCACATCTTCTCGGATGGTAATGGAGGCGCCGAGTCGGAAGTCCTCTAGCGCTCTGCGGAAGTGAGTCCAGTTTGTCCTCATCTGGGGACTTCTGGGCACTACGGCGTCCGCACTGGTATCTATGGTGAACAAAACGGGGAGGTGCTGCGTGTCCAGATCGCACAGCACCTCTAGCCGTATTGGGTACGGCATTTTGTGGTCCAACACTATGTCGAGGACATCGGGCTAGTGGAGGGGCTGCAAGGGAAAATCGGTGGGCTCATCTGGGCCCAATACCTCGCCATTCTTCGGCGTCTTACTAACGAGGTATTGGGGGATCGGTAAGCGGCGAAGACCCTCGCATCTGTGGTCCCCACCTTCATCCTTATGCCCTTTGGCCTCGTGGATATGAAGTCGGAGATTGTATCAACTTCTTCGTGCATGACGTCTCTCCTCACAAGGGCCGCAGTACCTCTGTATGCGACTTCTACCGGGGAGATCTTATCATGTCGATACACGAAGAAGTTGGGGAGCTTGAATTTAGCAGAGGAGTGTAGTTTGGTTTCCCCCAGCAGCACAACCTGGATTTTGTGTTGCTGGACCAACGTACGTAAGTCAGCGACCTTCCCTGTGATTCCGCTGGGGTTCCAGTAGCAGATTCTAATTTGATGGCCCTCTGTTAACAGTAGAGAGTTGGGCTAGGGCGCAAAGAAACGCCGAAAGGGGGTTGGTGCCGGTGGTCATAGCGGTGAGAACTTCACCCAGAATTTATCCTAATTGGGCAAGGGCCTCTTCAATGGTTGTTGGAGCCTGGGTCTGGGTCAGAGGTTGGAGTGTGACTGTTTCAGTCCTACGTTGGGGTGGTTGTTCTCGGGGTTGTTATATTGTGTGCACTATTGGTTTGGCACAGGGGAAGGTCGTAAGGCACGGCTGTTGTTGCCGCTGCTGTATGGTGGTGGTAGTGGGTGGAAGAGGAGTGGACGAACCTCGGACCTGTTCCTGTATGGTCGCCTTCTTCTTCTTCTTTTTCCCCCTCTTTTTTCTTTTTGGGCGCTCTGTGCGCTCGATGGGGTCGCTTGCTGGAGTGGCCAAAGTAGCCTCAGTTGATGCGAACGTGGTTGGCACCGGAGCAGGTAGTGTGACCTGCCGTTGTGGTTGCTGCGGCGCCAGGGGTGGTTGTTGCAGCTGTTGTGGTTGCTGCCATTGGGGTTGCTGTTGTGGTTTGGGTGGTGGTGGTGGTGGTGGTGGTGGTGGTGGCGGTGGTAGTGGTGGTGGTGGTTGCCTCTGTGGTGCCTGTGCTGTCTGCGGGGGCATGGGAGGTTGTATATTTATACCCCTCTTCCGTGCAATCCGCTGCAGCACTGGGCACCGTCTATCATTTGCCGGGTGAGCCTTTGTGCAGTTTGCGCACTTAGGCTGGGCATCACGTGGCTGTTTGCATTCGGATGCGATATGGTCGCCCGCACAGCGGACGCATTTAACAGGCCTGTAACAGTTATAGGATGCGTGGCCGAACCCCTGGCATCTATGACATTGCGATGGGCCGGCTCTTCCTTGCCAGCCCTCGATGGAAATGCCAGGCATGTACAGTAACACATCTATTTTATATAGTTTGCTTAGCTCTTTAGGTGACAGGTGGTCCATTTTAACGTGAAAGAGACACCTAAGTCTGTCTCTTTTTGGAGGAATGGCCCGTACAAAAGTAACCGGAAAGCCTTTTTCAATAAGGGCCTCCTGGATGTCTTTTGGGTCCGTGTCGACGGGGAGCCCTCTTAGCCCCACCTTCGTTGGTTGTTCATCTTGTGGAGCGTAGCAAAACCACGCGAAGGTGGTGTCCTCTTGGCTACGCTCTATCAGGTATTTTTGAATTTTTCTGTATTCTATATCGGATTGAGGCCTAAATATTACACCTTTCCCATATAGGCGAGCGTTTGAAGCGTGACCTAAAATTTGTTGAAGTGTTTTAAAGTGCTTCGCTCAATTAGAGAATCATTTTACGATTATGGGGGGGTATTTGGCCGTTTGCCTATCAGTGGGTTGTTCTGGCATTTGCGCAGGTGGGTGAGGGGATGGTGGTGCCGTTCGCGTTGCTGCTGCAGCGCTTGCATAGGTATGTGGCGCCGAGGATGGTCCTGGTGTAGCCTCTATATTAATTTCAGCCTCCTGATGTATAGGGGGGAGGGTGGCGTAGGACGTGTTGTCCCATTCCCTCTTCCCTTCTGGGTCTTGCTCTTCAAAAGTTACGTCTATCATACCGGCCGGAGATGTGGTTGGTGATGGTGATGGTGACTCGGGTGGGGTATTGCGTGTTCTCACGGGTGGTATCCCTCTTGTTTTAGAAGTTGGCGATGGTGTTGGAACTGGGGTGGTAGGCGAGGCCGATTTGGATAATGAGTCCGATCCGGCCTTTAGCCTTTTCTCCTCTTGGAGTTGGTCTTCTTCGATTTGTGGTGGAGTTCTCCTCCGCCAGGCTAGGTTCCAGCCTGGAAGTGGAACCGGTTCGACGCTATGTGGAGACACAGCGTCACCAGCACCGAGCGCGGCGCCAGTGGTCGGTGAACTTCCTATCCACCTCGGGAGCTGACTGTACGGCGGGAGCACTCGGGACGTCTCAGGAGCGAAGTGGTCTCGCTCCATGAGAGACCTGTCCAGTACTTCCGGGCGCCTTTCTGGTAGTTTACGGCGTGGAGAAGGGGCGTTTCCCCCTTGTCCGACATCTCTTTAGGTGTTAGATCGTGCTCAGCCCTTTGGCTTCACACACATTACTCCCCTCGGCGCGTGCAACCACACCAAGTGAGACCCGTGAGGGAGGCCCAGCGAGGCGCCCGCGAGCGGGGAGGAGTGTGTGAGGCTCTTATGGGTTAAAACGTAAACTCACACAAAGTGCGGCACACTTGTAATCACTTTTAATAATAAAAAGGGTACAGTGTAAAAGTGAAGTAAAACGCAAAGTAGGGCTCAGGCTAGGCGGTTCCCTTTGCACTTACCTTGATTTAGCTCGACGCAGGAGAGTGCCAGCAACGCCTCGACGCCAAACGGAGCGATCTCGACGTCGGCGGAGTCGTCAACTGGTACAACACGTACACAAACACTAGAGCGCGATAGACACGTCTGCACTGTAGCACGACTCGCTGCAAATTAACCAACGAATTACATGAAAACCAGTTTAATGAGGTACTTCAAAGCTATACTCGAAAGAGAGCCACGCCCGCTATGCGATTTCACAATACAATTACGTTGATTTTTCTTTATTGCGCTCTTACGGTTTGTTCAATATATTTATTTGCATAAGACATACAGTTATACAATTTATTTATAATGGAAGCGCAACAAAACCTTAATATTATGACATACATTGTATTTCATCACATAAAAAAACCTTTTATTTATTTAACAAAATATGCCTATTTTACAACATATGTACTAAGTTAGAATTCTTAAATATCTAACATATAAGGTTCAAACAATGTTCTTTATTTGAAAATACAAATATCTTAACTAATACAATAGTTATAGTTTAATTAACTAATAAGGTAATAATACTAATAGTTTAATTCACATTTTTATATATATTTTTACCTTTAAAACACTTTTAAATTTCTTATACAAAGCTATCATTATTTCAATATTTTAAAGAGAATTTACACTAAAACAACACAGAATTCACCTTTTGTGTTTACACAGTCACCCTGAAACATTTGTGACTCAATTTTACATAAATTACTGAAATTTTGCAAATAATTAAAAACTCATTTGGCCTCCTATATGCAAGTTCAGCGCACGATTCTTAGTCCGCACTATATGAGAAACCAATTTCTACACGACTCTAGTCACCTCAATAGAAGGCTAGTGAAATCCTTGGTCAGATTGCACTTATCTCTGTTTATTATGAAGCACCAAGGTTCGCAAACATTATCCTTATCAGTCATAATGATTCTTATCTGATAACATAAACAAAATTATTTCCATGTATTGAATATCAAAATAAGCAATTATTTTTACAAAATTTTTCATTTACATTACACAGATGATCATTATGCAAACACAACTCTAAATTAATCTGAAAGATAAATATGATCGTTCCGACCGGGGAATTGAACCCGTGGTCCTAGAACATTATCTTGAAATTTCTCTAAAATTTTGTTAAGAAAACAACAAAGATGATTCGACCGAGTAATTGAACCCGGGATCCTAGATTATTGTCTTAAAATTTCCTCTAAAAATTATTAAGAAAAAAATGCTAAGAAAACAAGAAAAAGTAATTTGACCGGGGAATTGAACCCGTGGTCCTAGAACATTTTCTTTAAATCAAATAGAACGAATACAGAAAAAATTTATTTAGGCCTTGAATTTTCGATCTGAAAATAAAAAATTAAAAAATTATAATGAATCATGTAACTTCCATAAATTGATGCAGTTGAAAGATCGTCGAACTTTACTGCAGATGCTATTCCTACATGATATCTGCAGTAACAAAGTTGATAGCCCCGAATTAAGTTCCTGCACTTTACAACTACGAGCACCTACTAAACGCACTAGACATACTTCGTTATTTCATGTTCCTTCAAGTCGCTCAAATTATGCACATAATTCTGTAATATGTCGCATACTTAAAAGTTATAATAAAGAATTTTCTTCGACTGACATCTTCCACCAAAGCAAATCAATATTTAAGAAGGAAATTATTATGTCATTAAGCAAGAGATAACACACACACACACACACACACACACACACACACACACACACACACACACACACACGCGCGCGCGCGCACACACACGCACGCACGCACGCACGCACACACACAACACACACACACGCACACACACAACACACACACTCACTCACTCACACACACACACACACACACACACATACACATGTAACATAAATTTCATTTCTGTTAATTATTAATTGAATAGTCTGACAGTATTGTTATTGTTATGTAATATTCTTCTTTTTTTGCGTATTGCCTGTTTTTATGTTTAAACTTATTTTTAAGATAACTTTTAAAAATCTAAGCACTATATAATTAATATCATTAATTTGTCAATTAACAAGCGATAGTATAAATATTATGTATATAAAGTAAGAACCTGTAATTGGCATTAAGGATTATCTGAGAATTTCTGTTTATATTTATAATGTGCTGTTGGTTCTATGAACAATAAAGAAAAAAAAAAGAAAAAAAAATTTACTAAGTGCTTTCTTATAGAATAGTTATTGCTTGATATTTAATCTTTAGAAGCTGTCCGTGATTGGTAAACTAATTAATTGTAATATTATTTATAGACACCAACACTCACACTTACACACTATTAATATTTTTTATTTATAATACCACCGTAAAATAGCAGCTTGATGCAGCTGTGTTTCGTATGGTGAGTGTAGAGAACTGGAGACCCTTTTTACTGGAAACGAGGCATTCCATCTTAGTCCTCACAGGTGACAACGCATCTGATTTAATTATTAATTATTATTATTTGATAAATTTACAAATTGTAATCCGAGCCGCGTAAGTGATATGTAACACCTTTGTTTTAATTGCTACAGTATGTATATGGAAACTTTTGCGATTACATCTTATTATTACCTAATTTTAACATAACTTGTATAATAATATGTTATTGTTATGTAAAATATCGTGATTAATTCCAAATTTGCAACTATTTGTAGGAGAAATTTAGTATGTATTATTCATATGAAATTTTATTATTATAAAATGAATTTTTTTTTATATAAATTCATATTATTGTTGTATAATAAACAATAATATGAATTTGCCGACGATGGATTTAGGTGTAGGAAAAATCCAAAAAACCCCACTCTTCGAGTGATCAAAGGTAGCGTCCACTATATGCTAACTTACTTATTTTGATCCACTTATTTTGATCTACCTAATATCTATTATTTATTCTGTGCTAATTTTTAGTAGTAATATTTAAAAACGTGGGAGGCTTAATGAACATAAAATTTGGCCACAATTCAGTAGTCAAGAATATAAATAAATATAAGGATTGTTTATCGACGGTTGATAAAAAAATGTTGATTAGTAGATTTTGAAAAACACGGCAGTATAACAACTTAATTATATGTTATTGTGTGGATTTATCTCGCAATTTTTAAAATTTTTCTTGTTTTTGTAATATTTTAATGTATTTTTACTAATCCTAGCTATAATTTAATTTGTTAATAACATTTGTGAACTAGGTGTGAACCATATGAGTGTTTGGAGAGCCTTTAAAGATGATGGCCAGCAACCGTATCATTATCGTCAGGTTTAGTGTCTTTTTCGCAACGACTACGAGCCAAGCGTGGATTACTGTAGATGGTTGCTCGATAAGGTTGAAGGAGATCCTGAGTTTTTGAACCGCGTACTTTTTATGGATGAATGCTCTTTTGTTAGAACAGGTGTATTTAACGCTCATAATCAACACGTATGGTAAACGACTAACCCGCATTCTTATAAACCAAGGCACTTTCAACACCGATTTAAAATAAATATTTGGGCGGGAATTATAGGTGACAAAATTATTAGTCCGTATTTTCTTGACCAAACAAGGAGCGATGAAAACTACGGACGCTTTTTGCGAATAGAACTAAACAATAAACTTGATGAAATAAATCTAAACCTCGTTCATCGCGTGTGGTTTCACGCATTTCTCCCGTTGTGTAAGAAATTTTTTGGATACTGAATTCGGTGCAAGATGGATCCGCCGTGGTAGACCGGTCAACTGGCCGGCGCGATCACCTGATCTCACACCTTTAAATGTTTATCTCTGGGGTACGATTAAGCAGTCTGTATTCCAAAAAAACATGCGATACCAAGGTGGATGGGTATGCGAATAGTCGCATCCTTTGAAAAAATAAAGTCCAAAATATCTGTTATGCAACGCGTCCGTTCAGACATTATAAGCCGGTGTCGCAAATGCATAAAGATACAAGGCGGACATATTAAACATCTTCCTGGTCGTCAATTAGACAGTAATGAATTAGTGTTTATGCATAATTACCACAATCGGTCGAAATACAAATTTAAAAGTTGTGATAAACGACTAATAAAATCATAACAGCTGAGTGATGTGACGAGGGCATGACCTTAGTGCAGTAGTGTAGGTATAACGCGCGCGCGCACGCGCCCCGTCTTTGATGTACGCCATCGCCGGCCGCCGCTGCTCGCTCTGTCGCTTTAGTTGCTTGATAATTCCAGGCAGATGTAATCAATTCACATGAAATTTACAAATATTATGTAATTAAAATTTGAATTGATTATTTTTTGGTCGAGTTCTCTGAAGTAAAGTTATTTCTATAGGTTTGAATACTGATTCTGATAATGCACTTAACGGGAATCAAAGAGTTTTTGTTACATATTGTATATAAAATATGAGAGTAAGGTATGTTAACTATAACACTAAATTATAAACTAGCACCTACTAAAAATAAACATCACCATCCCATCAGTTAACTGTTTACAAAGTAAACTTAATATCAATAAATTTTATATGCAAACCTAAGTAAAATCCATAATATCTAGTGGCAAAAATATTCTCGTCTTATAATAATATATTTATGTCTCAAAATAGATATAACACGAAAAAAAATGTTTACAAAAAAAAATTGTATGGTACATTTGTCCTTCGTCTATCAAG